AGCCAAGCTGAGGAGCAAGAACAATCATTTTGGCTCTAGAGCAGGTACTTGTAACCACCATCTGCACGGCCTGGTCTCCCTTCCTGCCAGTGTCCCCCCAGCCACATGTCTCCTTTTCCCTGGCAGTGGCAGTTTTTCCAGGAGCAGCAACTTTTCCAATATTCATGGAGCCAGATTTGTACTACCAGTCAGCTGATGCCCTTTCCCTAAGGTCAGGGTCTCAGGTCCTTGGGGCCCTTCTGTCAAGTACAGAAATGCCAAGACCAGCTGAGAAGATACCACCCATCCTGAGATCTAAGTTACAGCTCTTCAGGCTTCTAAATTTTAATAATCACAACCTTTTCCCTCTGTTCTCCCAGCCAAGAGTGGGAGTGGCTTTCGGCATTTGCTACTTCTGTGACATCTTATTGTTCTCTATTCAAGTTTTTAGCTACCTATTTTGTTGGCAATTCTTGATACCTAGCTAACAATCCTTTATATTAAGTTCTCTGTGTTATAAAATGATTGCTGTGGTTTCTGTATCTTGACTGGACCCTGACCAACACAGATGCTCCCTAGTACTTATCAAGGTTCATTACTAAATACCTCTATAGGCAAAAGGAAGAACTGAACATTTTTATTATATATAACTCAGGCAATTGTCATTCAGAGCTTTGAATGTGCCCTCTGGGAAGTGTGGTGTTTATCAAGAATGTTAACATCTCTTGTTTAAGATGGAATCATGGAGGGAGATAAAATAGAGACTATGGTGTAAGCAATGGTGGAGATGATTCATCAGCCAATTTTATCCTAACTTCCTTGTGGGGTGTCTAATCATGCAGGCAATAGGCTAAAACAACACACTGGAGAGGGCACCAGAAACTGTAATAAATAAATTTTTTAAAAAGGTACATTTAATATAGCAGCAAAGTATTGGTAGAAAATTAAATGGAAATAGGAGAGCTTCCTTGGGGATCTTTGGATCAGCACTGGGGAATTTCAAGAGAACACATCAATGGGAAACAGAGTCTAGATGGATAAATCCCACCGGTCAATTTTTATGAACAAATGCTTTTTTGACCCAAGTGACAGGATGTGAACATTAATGAGTGTTAGTCATGGAAAATGCAGACTTCATGCTTATCTCCCCAGCACGGCAGTTTAACATCTTTTCCAGGAACTGTGCTGATGAGTGCGTTCTGCCTCCAACATGTCGGAGGGCTTCAATCACAGAGCTTGTGTAACAATGCCCAACTTGATTCAAATGACTGACCTTATACTCAAAACATCCTAAGTTATATTGAGCTGCCCCCAGTGGTTTCCACAAGCTCCCTGTAGAGCTAAGGAGCCTGTGCAGGAGACCCTGGGGCTCACACAGAGAGCCAGCTTCCTGCGGGGTAGCCCCGGCTCCTCTGACTTGAGCCACAGGGTCCCTGCAGCCCTGGCAGACGTGCACTCCTGGGAGGGGCCCTTTCCTGCTCCGAGAACTACTCAGACTCCCCCAGAAACCCCGATTCTCTGAAAAATGACAACTCCTTGGTAGATTAGCTGAGGTTTCATCTCAAGCCTACCCAATACTCCTATATTCCTTCTTTTCTTTAGAGTGTGGAATCTACTAGGTTTCAGCATTTACAACTTTACAATCCCCAGCAAATGGCTGGGGTTCTATACTAAGAACTTCGGAAAGTCTGTGCTTACTTGAAATTTCTGCACAGAACCTAATAAGATTTGTTTACTAAGCAGATAAAAATTATGGTCCAGTGGAAGGAACCTGGAATTCTTATATTAATTTTATTATCAGTTGGTTCTGGAAACTTAAATGAATTACCTAGTCCGCTTCTATTATCTTAGTTGTAAAGTGGGAAAAATAATATCTTAAAAATCCTGTCCTTCCTTTTAATGAAAGGGCCGATTCTAGAACTGGGACATGAAATAACACGAGCCTGCGGCATTTAGTAGTGCTAAAAAACATAAACGTAATAAAAAACAAACAAACAACAACAACCTACGTTGATGGGGATATATCAAAGAAATCTAGGAGTCAACTGAGAGAATTTTCAATGGCCAAAGCTGGAACAATATAAGCAATACAATAAATAAAGCAGTATCGGCATTTAAAGCAAAGTATAAAATAAATACCTTGACTGGTATTATGTCAAATGTTTTATCTCCTCTGTTCTCTCCATTTTCCCGTTGGAATAAAATTAGATGACTAGAGCTCCTAGTCTATATTTCCTATTATTTAACTGCTTTATTTGAATGGTCCATTTCTTTGTATATCTGAACCGGGAAAATATATCAGGTCTATTTCCATTTCTATATTTCTTTCTTCATCTATCTCTAATCTGATATAACTCATTAAATGAATGTTTAATCTTAATTTCCATATTTTCATTTCTAGTAGCTCTAATAGACTCCCTTTATAATCTGTCTCATTAAAACTTTAGACATTTTTGGTAGTTTATGAATCTTTGGCTTTGTTTTTAGTTTTATGCTTAGTTTTTTAAATATTTAAAAGATATTTATGATTCTGACAATTTTAGAACCTCACGTGCTTAGATACCTTGTGTGGCAGAAAAATATAGGTGAATTTCAACTTATCTGAACATCCATGCGCCCTTATCCTCTCCAGGTATATGGATCTTATCTATAGTGGATTCAAATCTTATTCCCTTTTCTGAATTACTGTCGCTTTATAAAATAGGACTCATAAAATATACATTTAATGAAAGTGGTTTTCGACTCATATTTGGGGATGTTTCTATGGAAGGAAAAAAATCAAACTAATTATTTGCTCTTGATATCATAAGCAACCAAATTAACCATGAGTCTTAATAAACGTAGTCATGTTTTAGCACTTAATTTACATGATCACATTGTTGTCCTAAGATAGAATTAGGATCTTCTTACTGAGGAAGAAGGGGAAATTGAGGAAGGGGTAAGTCACCAGTATAATCTCCACCACTGTATTACTGAGTTCTCACTTTCTGTATGTGTGAGGATTCCTGGAAAGGGCAGTGTGCAGGCATACAATATTCTCAATAAATGTAGATAAAATCATGGAAAAAGAGGTGGATAAAAGGGTTGAAAATAAAAGCTGATGTAGCTTTTTTTAAATGCCCTAAGAGTTATGCTTTTTGTGTGCTTAGGAGATTCTGTCTGAATCTAAGGATTCAAAGTGAGTGCTAGACAGTGCTGCCTTGGGAAGTCCAAGCCATGAGGTCCAGTGAGTGTGAATGTTAAGAGGCTCCTGCAGCCATCTGGGGCTTTTTGGTGTCGTGAAACAGTCATTCAGTATAATGGCTGCACTTGGATGTAGAGGTGTTGATTTGGGTTTATGATAGATTCCTCAGCTTCCCTGTCTGCAGCCATGAGTCAATGCTGAGATTTTCCTAACATGTTTAAAACTTAACTTTCCTTTCCTTTCCTTCCAACTTTTAATTGAAGTATTATATATGTAAAGAAAAATCTTCAATATCACGATCAAAAAGACCAATGAATTTTCACGATCTGTGAAGTTTTCCTCCAGGTTAAAAAAACAAAGACAAAAGTCAAAATACATTACTGGAACCCAGCTCTGGTGATTCCAGACCCAGGATGATGCCCAGAGCAGCAAGAAGGTGCTCACCTGCTATGGCAGCCTCAGAAGCACCCCCCCCCCCCCCCTCCCGCACCCCCGCGCAGCAGGCAGGACTGGGGCACTCCAGCAGCCATTCTGAGAGCCAGGTCCTCCGCTGCTCCATTAGCATCATCAAGTTCGCGAAGATGCCTAGGAGGTTGCAGCCAGGAACCAAGAGGCAGGGCCTGCAGCATCAGCCACAACTCTCCCAGCAAGCTTAAGGGATGAAGAGGGATATAGAAGAGACGTGGAGCGAAGGGCCTTCCTTTGTAGGAGAAGAGGCTGAGCCAGGACGAACAGAGCCTCCCAGGATGAGCCTGAAGAGCCGCCCAGTGAAGCACAAGAGTCCAAAAAGCAGGAAGCAGCACCAGATGTCCAGAAACTGGCTGAAGAAGAGACCAATGAGGAGCCCACAGTGGTACTTCCTGAGGACAGGCTGCGGCAGCCTCCAAGGGGAGATGTCCTGAGTGAGGAGGAGCTCAGGGAGGGACCCTGGCACCTGATTGCAGGGAAGCAGCTGTTTAAACTCAAGGACACGTGCCCTCTGCTACAAGCACAGGGAGCTCTTCAAGGGGTGCAGCTTCAGGCTGTGGTGACCCAGCTAAAGGGGAAAAAGCAAGAGAGCAAGGGTCAGGCAGGGGCTGGGGGCTGGCAGCGCCCGTATTCACCCCAGGCCCCTGTGCTCAGAGGGCAGAGGCAGTGTCTGAGGAAGAAGAAGAGGAGGAAATAGAAGAGGCCAGAGCCTCTGCGCCCACCGCCAAGGCCACTAACCTACTGAGAGCTCTCTGGCACAGGGGAAGAAGACTGACACTTGCCATCAAGTGGCAGACAGGGTTGGAGGGAAGGGTGGGCATCAGCTTCTCCGGCTCTAAGGGCTCTACCCCCTTAAAGGGTGACTATGAGAGCCCAGTCATCCCTCGGGTGCTGGAGGAGGGCCCCTGCAGGCCGGGCCTGAGTCCCGGTGCTCCAACACTGTGGCCTAACAGCTCGCCAAGCACCACCGGGAGCAGGCGGCGGCGCAAGGGCAAGGGCGGGCACCCTGCGGCTGTGGCTCTGGCGGGAGCCCCGAGAATGCGGTAGCCCCTGGATCTCTGTGCCCCAGGATCATGACAGCCCTGGCTTGAACGGCTTTCGCCTGCGCCCCCCCGCCCCCGCCAGGGGGAGATCAGCAAGTACCCAAGGGTCCTCGAGGGTCCTCCGGGGGCGCCCCTCCCCCCAGAACCTTGGTGAGGTCACCGCTTCCTCCCGCCCAACCCCGCCCCCCCCCCACACTGGACGTTCCAACTGTCTCCTAGCAACAGGCCCAACAGTCAGCTCTTGGCTTTCAACTGTGTAGTTGGCTGCTCCAGGAGCTTGCTGGGATCGTACATTTGTTTGAGCACTGACCTCACCGAAGCGCCCGATGGGCACTTTCCTGGGCAGACTCTGCCCTCGTCCCCTACCCTGGGACCTGGGGGGCCAGCTCGGTGCTCGCCTCGCCCACCAGTTGGTCCGCCAGCGGCACCCACAGGTCCCCGCGCCCCCATCTACTCCAAGGCCATCCCGCACTCAGTGTCTGCCTCTTGGGCAGCCACGCCGCGCTGCAGCATTCCTGCGGCTGTGTTTCAGCATCCAGTGGGCCCTGTGCGTCTCCCTGCGCCTCCTTACCTCCTTCTGCCGGCGTTGCCGTCAACAGCGGGCCCCTGGACAGAGCAGGCCAGAGATGCCTGAACCGGAGGGAGAGCCCAGAGCCCCGGAGGGGCAGGTCGATGAGGGAAGGGGCCATGAAGACGAAGACGGATGCCCGCAGAAACCCCAGGCCTGCGTGAGGAGCTCCTGCCGCGGAACGGACGCCATCACCAGCTCCTACAGCTCCACTCGAGGTTTCCCTCCAGTGGAGAGGAGGAGGCGTGCGGCCAGCTGCCGCGCCAGGCCATCCCCCGGGCCGTCCGAGACGGTGAGGCAGCAGGCGCCTGAGGCTCCCCCCTCAAGTGGGCAGAGGTCCCTCAGGAAGAGCCAGCCTGACCAGGGCCCAGGGGACAGGCGCGGGCAGGACCCTCCCCCATCCCCGCGGAACCGCTCGCCTGCCCGTGACAGGCCTCGAAGGCGCAGGTTTCCTCTGCTGCCACGCCGGCGAGGGGAACCTCTGAGGCTGCCACCAGCTCCCCAGCCGGGCTACAGGGTCACGGCCGAAGACGTGGAGGCAGAGAGGCGAGCGCTGTGGCAGCGCATCAGCCGTGCTCTGTGGGCCCACGGGGAGGCCTCCTCGGCCTGTGGCGCTCCAGAGCCTCGGCGGCCTCCCCCGCAGCCTGTGCCCAGGACCGCTCCTGCCACTGTTTCAAGCAGCCCCTCACCCACCAGCCTGCCAGGCGCCTGCGCAGTGAGTGCCGGCCCCTCAGCCTGCCCCTCGCCCAGGGGCATGGCTCCCAGGCCCGTTTCGAACACGGAGGTCACCCCCATGGACACCTCCCCACCTGACTCCACTCCAGTATCGGGGGCTCCCCGTGACCCCAGAGGTGGAACAAAGGCAGCTCCCACCCCTGCCCAGGCCCCAGCCTCTGCTCCGGGCCTGTCAGCCCTGGGCACCATCACGCCGGCCACCTCGGGCACCCAGACCAGCACCAGGCCGGCCTTGGCTGCCACGGGTCCCTCTGGCGCAGGCACTCAAGGCTCTGGGGGCAGCTTGGGCCGGAACGGCCGGAAGCGCACTCGCCAGGGCAGCCTCCTGGCGCACACCGGCCCCAGTGCTCCGCAGAACCCTGTGCTTGGTGGCAGCACTGCCTTCGCCTTAACGCCCATCCTCAGCGGGGGACCCAAGCATGGCTCCCATCCTTCCGGCGGGGGCCTCGGCACTGGCACCAGCAATGCAGCCTCTAGCGGGGTGTCTGTCCCGGCCTTCACCCCCCATCTACCCTGCCCCCGCTGCGGGCACAGCGTGGACTGGTAGGACCGCCGGCCTACCATACACCGTGGCTGTCAACGCGGGCCCGTCAACGAGAACCTCCGCAAGCTTGGCTGCCCAGCCAGCCCGTGACACCCAGGGCTCCCCCATGGACACCACCCCACCTAAGTAGCTGTCCTCTGGAGTGGGCGGTTGCGTGGGCGGGCGGGGGCTCCTTTCTGCTCCCAGTGGGAAAAGCCTTGTGGTCCGGGCCCCACTGTCGCACAACCACAACACCATTGGGCCATCGACCGAGTTTTCACCCGACAGCTGAGAACTTTGAGCCTCAACACAAGGTCTTTTATCTGGGAGGCGTCGCCAAGACAGTCGTGAGACCCAAGACAACGTTATAGCACAGGCTTCGTTCCCAGGCCAGAGAATGGAGAAGAGGGAGGTGAAACTCTGAAATGTCCTTGTCCTTTTGCTGGGGTCCAAGAGCTTGTACTATCTCTCGTGGGGGGCTGGAAAGGAAGGGGTGGTCCAGTCCACTAACAGGAGGACTCTCCGTGGTCTTTCCAGGAAAGAAGCTGGCAACTGCAGAAACAAAGGCAGACACACAGAATTGGTAAGGATGTGATGGCCTACCTTCTCCTCTTCTGCTATGGAAGGTATGTATGGCTGGAAGAGACCAAGGAGTCGAACACAGTCTCACAGGTGCTGATGCCCAAGCTGCCCCTTGTGTTTGGCAGCTGGGCCAGGAAGTCCGCTCCCCAAAGTTGTCCCTTAGCTTGCCGGGACCCGTCCCTCTTCAGTGCTGCATAGGTCCTTCCGTTCTGGTGGCAAAGCCCCCCAGGGAAGCAGGGGCACAGTTACAGGTTTAGAATTGATATTGTAGAAGAACTGACAATAGATTGCTGAATGTTCATTCTGTTTAAATCAATACTGTGTTGCTTTCCCCTGTTTAGTACCGTTCCACTGCATGGGTACATCCCTGTTTCTTCGTGCGCCATGAAAGATGGGACAGTTTTCAAAATTTTTCCTCCTGCTAACCACTCTAGTAGGTAAACATTGGTATCTCATTGGGGTATTAATTTGCAGTTTCCATGGGACTAATGAGGATTTTTCTCCTATGCTTATGACCATCCATGGTTTTGGGGGCAGTACAGAATATTCAGATCTCTATCTCACTGTAGAAAATGCAGTTCTTTGGGTTCTTTGGGTGTTTCTAATTTCATTGTTTTAACATATTCTGGGCACTCCTTCTTCATCAAAAGTGTGAGTCCTCCGATTTTGTTCCTTCTCAACACTGCTTTGGGCCTGTGGGGCTCCCTGCGGTTCCCTGTGAATTTGATGACCAGCTTTTAAAGGGGGGGGGGGGCTGAAACTTTGATTGCAATTGCGTTGACTCTGTACCCATGTAGGCAGTATTGACATCTCCACCACTTGTCTTCGGATCCCCGAACACAGGATGCCATTCTCTTTACTTGGACATTTTAACCTTCTTTCACCCTCTCTTTATAATTTTCCATGTACATGTCTTTCATATCCTGGCTTCCGTTTATTTCCAAGTATTTAGTTCTTTAAGGTGCTATGGAAAATGGAATTGCTTTTCACTTCCCTTCATTCGCTGGTAGAGTGAAACACAACTGCTTTTTGTGTTTCCTGCAAATTTGCTCAGCATGCTTGTCCCCACGAGGAGATCTATGGCAGGTTCTTTGGGCAGTTATATATCTATGGAATCATGCCCTCTGTGATAGTTTTCCTTCTTCCTTTAGGATTCGGATGCCTTTCTATTTCTTTTTCATGTTTAATTGCTCTATCTGGAGTTACGAATCATTTTGAATTGCAGTGATGAACGTGGCCATCCTTGTTCTGTTCTTGAATCCAGTGGGAAAGCTTTCAGTCTCCCCACATGGGGCTTTCACAGGCTCACTTTCTGATGTGGAAGGAGCTCTTGTCTATTCGTGTTTTTCTTGTGCAAGTGTGTTAGATTTTGTTAAACGCCTTTTCTGTATTATTGAGGCAATCAATAATTCATTTTATTTCATTAATATCTATGATATTGATTCATTTTCTTGTATTGACCTCTTCTTGCATTCCTGAGATATATTCTACTTGCTCATGGCATACAATCCTTTTTCTCCACCAACAATTGAGTCTGTTAGTGTTTTATTGAGAAGATTTTCATCTCTGTTCATAAACGGTGTGGGAGCTGATAATTTCCCCATGGTGTCTTTACCTGGCCTTGGCATAAGAGAAACTCTGGTCACATCAAATAAGTCAGAAGAGTCCCTTTCTCTTCTCTTTTGGCAGAGTTTGAGAAATATTGGAATTAGTTCTCTTTCAGTGTATGGTCATGTTCTTCAAAATTTTGTCTCTCCTTTTTGATCCTCACCGTGTGTGTGTGTGTGTGTGTGTGTGTGTGTATTTTATTGCTTTTTAGAGAGAGGAAGGGAGAGAGAGAGGCGTGGAGCAGTCGACATCCTGTTCGTGCTGCGGACAGGTGATGAAGCCAAAGCCTAGGTATGTGCCCTGAGTAGGAATCACACTCATGGCCCTTGAGTGACGGGATGATGCTGCAAGCAACTGAGCCACACCAGCCAAGGCTCCAGTCTTTCTGTTCATGTAAGTGCTTACTGTTTCATATTTTTTTCTCAGCACTGCATCTCCTGCATCCCAGTGGTTTTGGTACCTTGTGTCTTCTGTTTCCTTGGTCTCTAAGCTCTCCCTACCTACTGAAGACAGTTGTTTGAAGTCTTTTGACGATATTCTCTGAACTTTCCCAGGACCTTTTTCAGTCAGGATGTTGATGCCTATGAATGGGCCATTCTTGCTTCATTTCTGTCCTAATTGGCTCACGCCTTGGGAAATTCTTCTTGCAAGCGGCATGCTTGACTATTATTCCGTAACTGCCGAAATCAGATTTCCCCCCTGTTCCGGGTTTGACTTCCTGTCTTGTGGTTGTGAAAGGGGGCCGTAGTCCATTTGTTTCATGAGTTGGCTCAACTCTTTGTATGGAGAATCTGTTTCTTGCCGTGCCTGGCCACTGCAGACTCTTCTTGAACTTACATTCAGGGAATGTTTGGACAGAGAATTTCTTGAACACCAGGAGTCAGGGAAAGAGAATGGCAGCCTTTGGAGTTTTTGCAGGTTGCCTGTGTTAGGACTCTCCCCAGGCATGTCACCAGGCTTTCCCTGAGCCCAGGGACTGGTCCAATGTGAGAGTGTGTGTCGTCCAATGCAATTTCTGAGCAAGCATGTGGCCCTTGGCATGAATGTGACCTCATCAGTTTCCTAGCTTTATGGGTGCTTGGGAGTGCTCTAATTTCTTTCCTTTTTTTTCTTTTTGTATTGTCGTATTAGTATTTAATTGTATTTTCCATACAAACAACTATAAATCTACTTTTGCCCCACTCTCTGTATATTTTATGTAATAGATCTAGGAATATGTTAAGTCTCATTTTTTTTGTTTGTTTGTTTGTTTTTTACTATGAACTATGCTTTATATCTTTCTGAATGTCTTTTTTTAATTAACTAATTTATTTTTTTCCCAAATACATTTGTCTCTGCCTTCCCCCCACCACATTCCCTTGCCCCCTCCCCCCGCCCCTCCCTCAATCCTTCCCCTTTGGTTTTGTCCATGAGTCCTTGCTATATGTTCCTTGACTTTCCCCTTCCCTTCCTTTTCCCCCGCGCACCCCTCCCTCCTTCCCTCTTGTTTCTGTTGGTTTCTTTTCCTTTCAGTGTTGCTGGTCTTATTTTCCTTGCCTCTTTGTATTGTTGGTTAGGTTCCGCTTTTAGGTGAGATCATTTGGTATTTGTCTCTCACCCTCTGGCTTATTTCGCTTAGCATAATGCTCTCTAATTTCTAGAAAAAGCTCTCTGCCCAACTTTCCTCCCAGGCGAGAGGCGATCCGTAGTATGCCTCCACAGGAATCTCTGGCTCCAGGCAGCTGTGTGCTGCTGGCCAGCCTTGTGGTTTCAAGCAACACCTGCAGCTCTTCCAGACTTCAGGTAGTTCTCCTGTTTGCTCTCGACTGTTTGCCACTGTGTGCCTACAAGGGTGCCCTGAGAGAGGACACTGCTGGGGTAGCAGGTGTTCCCTGGACTTCCTGTAGAAGGCTTTGGTGGGCTTCTCCGTGGATGCCACCACTTCCTTGAATCGGGGCCCAACCCGGGCTCAGGCGGGGCAGTCCGGGACACTAAGTGTGGTCAACATGATGGTGTGCTTGGGGTGGTCGTGCTGTACTGAAGCTGGCTGGGCAGTCACCAGCCAGTCCACTTCCTCCCCTCCTCCAACGACCTCTCTGTCTCTCTCTCCGTCTCTTTCTCTCTCCCTGCAGGCCTCGGCACGTGCTCCTGGTGGATCTCCTCGAGGGGTTTCTTCTGCTCCTGCCTGAGCCGCTGCTTCATCTCTGCTGGGCCTGCCTTTTTCCGCTCCACCTTGCGCCTTGGAAGGTGCAGGTACTCTCGCCGCTCTTCCTCCTGGCAGCTGCACAGGTGCCACAGTGGTCGCCCCCTCGCTTCCCGCTGCCGCTCGTAACTGGGAGGACTGCGCGGGGTTTCCACCCACCCCAGACCAGAAATGCAATGGATTTTTTACACTGGTTTTGTCTCTTGCCACTTTCCTGTATTGGTTTATTGTTTCTAACAGTTGTTTCAGTGAGGTCTTTAGTTTCCATAGGAAGATTCCTATTATTAGCAACAAGTGGCAAGTACACTCTTTCATTCCAGATATGGATGCTTTTTATTTCTTTCTGTTTCCTGATTTCTGTGGTGCGGACTTCCAGTACTGTGTGGAATCACAGTGGTGAGGGTGGGCATCCCTGTCTTGTCCCTGATCTTAGAATAGAAGCTTTTACCTTTTCACCATTGAGTAGGATGTTTGCTGAGTGGTGTCATATATGGATTTTATTATGTCAAGATACTCTTCCTTCTATACTCATTGTACTGAGTGCTTAATAATAAGTGGATGTTGTATCCTGTCATGTTTTTCCTGCTCTCTTGATATGGTCATATAATATTTAGTCCTTATTTTGCTATTGTGATAGGGACATTACATTGAT